TGTTTGCATGATTTAGTTAGACTGCTGCGCCCGCGACCCGGCCCCGGATAAGCGGAAGAAAATGGATGGATGGATGGATGATTTAGTTATTTCGGTGTTTCTCATTTATGTTGAGCACTTTTAGTTAAAGAAAGTTGAGTTTAGTTAAGAAAGTAAACCGCACACTGTAGAAACAGGGAAAGTTGACAGACAAACTAACCTGTGTGTGTTGGCGCTGACCCAGGGGGAGGGACTTCCTGTCTGGGAAATAAAAATTGGGAGCAGTTCAGCCAGTTGGGGGTTCAACGACTGGCACATGGTTTTTTTCCTTTATTTTGTTCATTTCTGTTGCTTTTGTCTTTATTTAACCACAGTTATTATTGGAAATTAAGGATGGGCATGATTAATCAATTAATCGATAATTGATCGTTAAGAATTTAATCGATTACGTTAATTTTAATCGACAAACTGAATGTAGGTTGCTTGTGTGTAGTGTGACCAAACAGGTGTGTACATGTGTCTCTGCATCAGAAGGAGCGAGACACAAACAGTCTGCCTGCAACGTACCGAAGCACAAATGTGTATTTAACGATGATTTGTACAAGAAATTCCACACTTTCCGTTGCGTTCGGGACAAGTGTGAGTCCATGTGCACAGTGTACAAAGCAGCACATATGTTTCTGTGTCCAGTGGGAAAAAGTTTTACCAGGTGAGAGTCGCGCAATGTGGATGACGAGTCCCCACCCCCCTCCCCCCGTACGGTGTCCTGGTTTTGACAAACACAAATCTGGTCACACTAACCTGTATTCACCTGAGTCATGTCTTTTAATCCGACAGAAGTTGAACCGCATCAGCGACACAAGAGCTGTTTTTTTATCTTCGCTGAGTTTAGGCAAATTAGTGATGCAGTTTTAAGTTTTGTTTCTGTGAGAGTTGAACAAAAACTGAATTAAACACATTATAATGTCAAACGGGCTGATGTGGCTCTAGAGTCGTTACAGTTTATATGTCGTAAAGTTGAATTTATTTATGCAGATTAGTAGTGCAGATAGTAATAATAATGATGATCATTTGAATATAAAGACGTTCATGATTAATCGATAATTGATCGTTAATTCTTCCGACGATCGATTAAGAAAATTTCATCGAATGCCCATTTCTATTGGAAATACGTAATTTTTTTTTCATTTTTTTTTCCCACGAATCCATGGTGTAAGGAAGAATACATTTTTGGTTCAAATTTGGCCAGCTTCCTCACACTGCTGAACAAAAGTTAAAAGGAAGCTTGAAAACTACCGCTTCATGACATCACAAGGTGGATCAGAGTGTTTTGAGCTTCAGAGATGTAGACAAACTCATAATAATCTCAAAAATCACTCAAAACAGTTCACAACAACCCATTTAGTGTAATACAGAACCTTTGAAACTGGAGACGAAAGAGACAAAATAAAGACGTACACAAATATTTGGAGTCAATTGTTGTGATTTTATTGTTGCACCATTTTTACAAATACACACAATATGTCCAAATGTTGATCTCACTTTGACAGGTTTGGTTTTGACGAGCACCGTGCCCATGTGAGCGGGGCAGGGACGCACCCGGCTGGCACACGTTCACACCGGATCAGATCAGTTTGGTTTCCACGGGGACCAAAAAGACAGGACTACAGATTCACCCAACCACAGACATGCAAATTTACCGAGTCAGGGCGGGTCTGCGGGGGCGGCGGCCGGGGGCTCCGCCGGTTGGTTTGGCTGCTACGGATTCTGCCGAGGAGAAAGCCGCCGACCCCGAGAGCCAGCTGAGGAGAGGGGGCGGAGGAAGGGGGGCGGGCACAAACGGACTGGCCAATAGGAGGCGAGCGTTGCGGTAGTAGTAATAGTAGTAGACCAATGAGCATGCAGCACGATTGAACGGAACCAAATGAGCTCGAGTATTGCAGTTTGTATTTTGGATTGACTGAAGAGCAGAGGTGGGTAGAGAGGTCAAAAAATGTACTTGAGTAAAAGTACTGTTACTTTGAAATTATTACTCAAGTAGAAGTACAAAGTAAAGATCCAAGAAATTCTGATGTATTTGAAGATATACTGTTAGAATTGTATTTTATGAATAGCATTTTGTATTTTGTATTGACTGAACAGGAAAGGTGGGAAGATGAACTAAATTGTACTCTAGTAAAAGTACTTGTTACTTATAGTTAAAAAGTAGTAGTCCAAAAAATTACTATGTATTTAGGGATGTACTACTAGTACTGTGTTGTATAAATAGCATTTTTAATTTTGTATTGACGGAATAAAAGAAGTGTGTAGAGCCAATACTGTACTCGAGTAAAAGTACGGTTACTTCAAAATTATTACTTATTACTCAAGTAGAAGTACTAAGTAATGATCCAAGAAATGACTATGTATTTGGGGATAAACTACTAGTATTGTACTGAATAGTAGATGTGGGTAGATAACCCAAAATTGTACTTGAATGAAAGTACTGTTACTTCAAAATAATTACTCAAGTAGAATTACAAAGTAGTGTGATCCAAGAAATTCCGAAGTATTTGAGGATATACTGCTAGAATTGTATTGTATGAATTGCATTTTGTATTTTGTATTGACTGAACAGGAAAAGTGGGAAGATAAGCTAAACTGTACTCAAGTAAAAGTACTGTTACTTCAAGTAGAAGTACAAAGTAGTAGTCCAAAAAATGACAGTGAATTTGAGGATATACTAGTACTGTTTTGTATAAATAGCGTTTTGTATTTTGTATTGACAGAATAAAAGAAATACATAGAGAAGCCAATACTGTACTCGAGTAAAAGTACTGTTACTTCAAAATTATTACTTATTACTCAAGTAGAAGTACTAAGTAATGATCTAAGAAATGACTATGTATTTGGGGATATACTACTAGTATTGTGCTGAATAGTAGAAGTGGGTAGATAACCCAAAATTGTACTCGAATGAAAGTACTGTTACTTCAAAATAATTACTCAAGTAGAATTACAAAGTAGTAGTCCATAAAAATGACAATGTATTTGAGGATGTACTGCTAGAATTGTATTGTATAAATTGCATTTTGTATTGACTGAATAGTAAAAGTGGGAAGATAAGCTAAATTGTACTCTAATAAAAGTACTGTTACTTCAAAATGACTCAAGTAGAAGTACAAAATGGTAGTCCAAAAAATTACAATGTATTTGGGGATATACTACTAGTATTGTACTGAATAGTAGAAGTGGGTAGATAACCCAAAATTGTACTTGAATGAAAGTACTGTTACTTCAAAACAATTACTCAAGTACAAGTACAAAGTAGTAGTCCAAGAAATTCCGATGTATTTGATGATATACTATTAGTATTGTGTTGTATAAATAGCATTTTGTATTTTGTATTGACGGAATAGCAGAAGTGTGTGTATAGAAGCCAATACTGTACTCGAGTAAAAGTACTGTTACTTCAAAATTATTACTTATTACTCAAGTAGAAGTACAAAGTAGTGGTCCAAGAAATGACTATGTATTTGGGGATAAACTACTAGTATTGTAAGTGGGTAGAAAACCCAAAATTGTACTTGAATGAAAGTACTGTTACTTCAAAAATAATTACTTATTACTGAAGTAAAAGTACAAAGTAAAGGTCCAAGAAATGACGATGTATTTGGGGATATATACTACTAGTATTGTGTTGTATAAATAGTATTTTGTATTTTGTACTGGCTGAAGAGCAGAGGTGGGCAGATAAGCCAAAATTGTACTTGATTAAAAGTACTGCTACTTCAGAATTGTTACTATTTTTTACTTAAACAGAAGTACACTGTATTAGTCTGTATTTGGGGACAGACTACTACTACTCTAGGAAAACTGTCTGGACGTGACATTTTGATTTAGAATTTGAAGTTGGTGTATTTGAAATAATCCACAAAATGTTTTCAAAGGACGAACCACAAAAATGTGAAAAACCAAACGTTATCTGAAGGAGCGGAGCAAGAAACACAAACGTTCAAATCATTACTTCAATAAAAATGACTCGAGTAGGACTAAAAACACTCGAGTAAATGTAACGTAGACGAGTCCTGCCCACCTCTGCTGAACAGATTAAGGACCTAAAGGATTCCATGCAGTTCTGAGCGCGTTTTTTTTTTTTACAGTGCAGCCGCCCACGTGTGCAGTCCATATGTGCTGTGAGGGACGCAGGAGGAGGAGGAGGTGAACATGGATGAGAAAATGAGGGAATTCTTTCGGATTTCCAGAGGTTTCGCTAAATAAACAGGCCTTTGTGATGTGGAATGTCGCTGATACCACACAGGCGCAAAGATCTGGGGCTAAGCAGCGAGATTCGTACTCAAATAGTCCTTGGCAAATGTGAACTTTTCAACTGGTATCTCCAAAATTTGTATTGTGCTAAATTTAGACGTTTTTAATTTATGTAACTAATGTGCAAAGTTAAGTTCTAGGTAAATGTTAAAGATCTACTTAAAAAATCTTGTATTTTTTTTTGTAAAAGACAGAACGGATTTGTAGATTTAATTACAAATATTAAAAATCTACTTTAATGATTTCATAAAAAATCTCTTTTGAAAAATGTCTACCTCTGATTTATTGGTCTACATTTGGTTTAGTGCCAAAGGTGTGTTTTGTTTTTGACGATATCATAATTTTCAGAGTATAAAATAAAAGTTATTCTAGAGATGAATACTGCTGGTAAAGACGTGGAAATCTGGACTTTGAAGAAAACGTTCAGAAAAAGGAAATATTTGAAAAGAGAGATGAAGAAAAAGAATATGTGCCACAGACTTGAGTCAAACTTATGCGTGAAAAGTCGGAGTAGATGACGGTCACCTCGCCGTGAAGGAAACTAGATCTAGAAATATTGCATTAGAATTTGCAAAAACTGAAAAATACGTCAAGATTGGTACAGAATTTAATAAATAATTCGGGTTGATTATAAGAAGATTCATGCGTCAGAATGCATTATTAGTATAATATTAACAAAGAATCATCATCACGTTTCAAGAATAGTACAAATATTTTCATGCTTGCGTGTTTTAAAGTTTATTTATAGAAATATGACTTTGTTCTTTTTTCTCGTTGCAGTTCCTAAATAAAATATAAACTATTTGAAATCAGTATTAGCATTAGAGTTTTATTTGCAAATGGAAAGGCCCTGGTCACAATTATCGATGAGATTAGACGAACTTGGTTTCTCAAGTTGACGAGAGCGTTGGGTTCGTGTGCCTGTGGTCGGTTTTGGAGGGACGTTTGGGGGGAAGGTCATGGATGGAAATGGAAAAAATGAAAAGCTCAAAACAGACTCGTACCAAAGTTCAAATACTACATCAGAAAAGAAGTAAAAGCTAACAATAATAATAGCAATAGTCCCATGTGCAGCAGTGTGCGGGTTCTCCTCTAGGTGGTGTCTCGAGTCCAGTTGTCTCCACATATCTGAACATTATTATTATTATTGTTAATCTCCGATCAGAATATGCATGGGCGACTTAATCATCTTCAGATTTTTGTTTGACATTGTTGACTTCAATTTCCCAAAAGAGCTGTCCATTAATCTTGAACTGCTACGGTTTGATCCTTGCTCGGCGCCTCTGTGGCGTTGGCGTCCTTGGCGGGGGGCTCTGCGGCTGGTGTGGAGCTAGCCTCTTTAGCGTTGGCGGGCGCGCTAGCGGGTGCTGCCTCCGTGGGCTTGGGCTCAGCTTTGGTGGCTGGTGCCGCGGGGGCCTCAGTCTTTTTGGCCTCGTCTTTGCCCTCCGCTGCAGCAGGTGGCGCAGTCTTGGCCTCGGGCTCCTTGGCGGCTGGTTTTTCCTCAGCTTTAGCGGCCGGTTTCTCCTCGGTTGCGGCGGGCTCGGCGTTAGCGGCTTTAGCCTCTTCTTTCTTCTCGTCCGCTTTAGCCGCAGCGTCTGGGGCCGGGGCGTCTTTAGCCGCCGTATCGTTAGCCACGTCTTTAGCGTCGGCGGCGGCGCTCTCTTCCTGGTTTTCTTTGGGAGCTTCGCTCTCCTCCGCCGCGCCGCCCTCCGCTTTGGCGTCCTTGTCTTTGGACTTCTCGTCGTTCACATTATATCCCTTCTTCTTTTTGCTCAGCTTGCCTCCCATTTTAGATGTCTGGCCCCTGAAACGACACGAGTAAATAAATGTCAGAACTGACATGTGTGAGCACAAGAAGTCAAAAGACAAACAGTGTGGATAAACACACATCTGTGTTGAAGTGAACAAAAGGAAGTATCCCTCTCCACATTACACTCATCAACTTCACTATTTCAGAGTTTATGATTGATTTCAGATTTATTTTGAGCAGTTGGACGGCTCCTGACAGCTCAGGAACACGCCGGGTAAATACTATGTGGTTGTTTGAAGGAAAAAAAATCACAAAAATATTTAGGAAACCAGACAACAGAAAAAAGAAGAAACTCTTGTATCTGTTTAGAAATGTTTTTAAAAAGTCTTTCCTCTATCACAGCGGCTGATGACAGGGTTTGGCCAATAAAGTCTTCATCAGACACATGCTGCTTGTGGTTTTCATTCACTTCTGCACATGAATGAACAGATCCAATACAACAGAATATAATCGAACCTGAACATGCCACAATTATCCCACTATCTACTAACAACTGTAGTGCCAAAAACAACATGTGACAGTGTCCACACATGAACACACAAAACAGAATACACATGAAAACACATCTTCATGATTTAAAGTCCAATATTACACAACACTGACTCTTGTGACCTTTGCACCATGTTGTAATGTTGTTCCTCATCAAAAACAGACCTGGAGTTGTTTTGTTTCATTCACACATGTTGGAGTAACTTTTATATTACACAAAAAAGCTCTAAATGCTCTGTTCCACCTTGTGATGTCATGAAGAGATAGTTTTCAAGTTACATTTTACCTTTAGATCAGTAGAGATTGGCAATTCCAGGGCTGAAATTATCCAAATGATTCTAGTGAAGGTGTATGGAGTTTAAAAACACAGAGCACTTCCTGTATCACCACATGACATCACAAGGTGGAACAGAGTGTTTTCTGTTTGAGAGAAGAACTCAACCCCTAAATATAGAAGTTTTGTGTGTTAAACTTATGTGAATGAAACAAAACAAAACCCCAGATCTGTGTGTGATGAGGAAACATTAGAACATATACAGTATTGGGGAGTAACAGATTACATGTACTGGAGTTATGTAATCAGAGTACAAATTATGAGTAACTGTATTCAGTTACAGTTACTGTTTCAGAGAGTGGTAATTGGATTACAGTTACTTGGTTGAAATAAATGGATTACACAGAGGAATTTTCTTGTTTTCACATTTTGGGCTAAACCAGGACTAAACCAGGACTAAACCAGGACTAACCCAGGTCTAAACCAGGACTAACCAGGACTAACCCAGGTCTAAAACCAGGACTAAACCAGGACTAAACCAGGACTAAAACCAGGACTAAACCAGGACTAAAACCAGGACTAAAACCAGGACTAAAACCAGGACTAAACCAGGACTAAAACCAGGACTAAACCAGGACTAAAACCAGGACTAAACCAGGACTAAACCAGGACTAAAGGACTAAACCAGGACTAAAACCAGGACTAAAACCAGGACTAAACCAGGACTAAAACCAGGACTAAAACCAGGACTAAACCAGGACTAAACCAGGACTAAACCAGGACTAAACCAGGACTAAACCCAGGACTAAACCAGGACTAAACCAGGACTAAAACGGAAAACCAGGACTAAAACCAGGACTAAACCAGGACTAAACCAGGACTAAAACCAGGACTAAACCAGGACTAAACCAGGACTAAAACCAGGACTAAACCAGGACTAAAACCAGGACTAAACCAGGACTAAACCAGGTCTAAACCAGGTCTAAACCAGGTCTAAACCAGGACTAAAACCAGGACTAAAACCAGGTCTAAACCAGGACTAAACCAGGTCTAAAATCAGGTCTAAACCAGGACTAAACCAGGTCTAAACCAGGACTAAAACCAGGACTAAAACCAGGACTAAACCAGGTCTAAACCAGGTCTAAACCAGGTCTAAAACCTGGTCTAAACCAGGTCTAAACCAGGTCTAAAACCAGGTCTAAACCAGGTCTAAACCAGAACTAAACCAGGTCTAAACCAGGTCTAAACCAGAACTAAACCAGGTCTAAACCAGGTCTAAACCAGGTCTAAACCCAGGACTAAACCAGGACTAAACCAGGACTAAACCAGGACTAAAACCAGGTCTAAACCAGGTCTAAAACCAGGTCTAAACCAGGTCTAAACCAGGTCTAAACCAGGTCTAAACCAGGACTAAACCAGGAGTAAACCAGGATTTAACAGGACTAAATCATGCTGCAGGGACCATGTCTCCTCTTCTTCTATCAATAATATTTTTAATAACGTTAAGGAAAGTCTGGGCTTTTTATTTTCTTTTAGCAGAAAAAAAAATCTTAGTGAAGATTTCCTCGTCTTTGCTTCTCTACAGCAAATCAAGTAATCCAAAGTATTCAGATTACGTTACTCACTTAGAGTAATTTAATGGATTCCGTTACAAACTACATTTTGAGGTATGTAATCTGTAATCTGTAGGGGAATACATTTTAAAAGTCACCTTCCCAACACTGAACATAGATGATAAATTGTGGTAAGATGAGTCCTTTAATACACGAGGGTGGATCAAGTGAAATATCAGCCCGAACACTAAATGGAAGTGGGATTCAGATGTGTGTATTTTCCATGTGAGGCTCCATCTGTCGCTCCGTGGGGAAGGAGGCTGCACATGGCCACGGTGACCGACCAGAGCTAAACATGGAACTACTGACTCCACCAAAATCTGCAGTGCACGAAGAACAAGCTGCTAACCAGGATTTAACACTCCAGCAAACACATGTCTGCGAACTCACACACATTAACCCAACGTTGTCTTGGAAAGCGTAAACTGTCTGGAGCGGCTCGGAGCGCGGTGCAGTTTGCCTTTTAACTGTCAAAATGAACATGTTTACACGTGTACGAGGCTCTGTAATGACTCCACCTGTCCAGTCAAACCAAACCCACAGACTAATGAACTCAACTGGTTTATTCACTACAGGATATGGAGCAAAAATATATCTTGATATAGACGAGTTTCAGCTGACGTCATTGTTATTAAAAGCCCGTGTTGCATGCTGGGAAATATTTTGGTCGGAGGCAAGAAACACGATAGCGTCAAACACAGTGCGTAACCTCACGTATTTATCCCCGATAATGGTAAATTCCTGCTGCATTATCGGATGCACAAATAGAAGCACGGAAGAAGGAAAATGTCTTTTTCGTATTCTGAGTGAAAAGAACCACTGAATTAAACGGCTTTCAAACATCCACAGAGCAAACGTAGAAGATCCTAACAAACCGTGGACTCCAACAAGTTCAACAACACATCGAGACTCTTGGAGGTTTTCATCTTTTCTGCTGTGAATGGCCCAGGAGTTTCCACCAAGTCATTGTGGATATCGCCCAAGTGAACTGATATTGACAACTGAACAAAGCTCAGAGTCACCGTGAACGCCACAAACAAACAAAACCACTCACCCATCACACTGTTGGGTTTCCTTTAAAGTCCAGTGCAGTTTATTTGTAAAAAAAAGTTAAAAAATAGATCATTTAATGACAGTGCGTCTTATAATCCAGAGCAGAAAATACTGTAAATAGTGTTCTTCAGTTGTATACAGCGAAATTCTGCACACTCAAAGACGCTTTACAGATAATTATTCATTCACTCCAAACTACTATTGTAGCTACGGCTGCCCTGGGACAGACTCGCAGAAGTGAGGCTGCCAATCTGCACCATCGACCTCCAACCACCACCAGCATCACTCACACACACCCACACCCACATACCCCCACACACACCCCACACACCTACCCACACAAACCATTTTCTTACTAGGCAATGTGGGTGAAGTGTCTTGCCTAAGAACACAATGGTGACTCCTGATGTTCCCAGTGTCTCCCATCCAAGTACAAACCAGGCCCGGTCCTGTTGAGCCTCTGAGATCTGACGGGATCAGGGTTTGACAAATCGGTCTGGACTTTTTACACCATGTGTGGCAGCAAATGTGTCAGAAGACCTTCCAGAAGAAACACTTTGAGGGAATGTCCCGCTTCATTACCAACAAAAACGCGTGGAGTAAGAGTGAGACCTTTTCTGTTGTGTTCACCTGGCGCCCCCTGGAGGCTGCTGTGACGCTGCAGGACACAGAGCAGAGACACTTTGGGCTCTTCCTCTCCTCAAACTGCCCTGACACAGAATCTGCTGACCCTCCCTGACCAGTCCTCCTGTCGATCTGACCTGAGACACAAGGGACACTGAGACACGCCATGGAAATGTTGCTGCAGCAAAACTTGAATTTCCCTTTGGATCAGTAAAGTATCTCTTCTCTAATAAGTGACTGGTCATAAAGGTTCATAGATCCCCGGTCTCAATTTGAAATGAGGTCAAATTGTAAAACGTCACGAGCGCTTTACAGTGTTTTTTTCAGCTTGCTTTGAGAAAAATATCCAATAAATATAAAATTAGCTCAAAGAAAACCATCTGTAAGTCAAATGCCCCAAAGCTCATTTCTTTCCATGAGGGAGCAGCAACTCTACTCAGAGCTCTCACCATTTTTCTGAAGAAGCACCAGCAAACCAACCAAGAAAACTGAATCTGTACCTGATTTTTTTAAAAACATGAAATATCAAACAAGTTCATGTTTTAAACAATTTGCAGCATTTCAAAGTTATTCACTACCATGAGTCTACAAGCGCTTTTCACTATTCACAACTTTAATATGCCAGAGCAGAGTGTGCAAGTACAGTAATGCTAAAAGAAACCAGCATGCTAACAGCGCACCAGCCTTACTTGTTGGTTCACGGGCAGTAAAAATGCTGTATAATTAGATGCAGACAGTGCACAGCAGAAGAGCTGCTTTTACAAAGATAGGATAGAAAGATAACTTTGACTTTATTGCTGAAGAATCGTAAACTATAGTATCGATAGTATCTGATTTTTGATACTTTTGACACCAATACTGGACTGAACAACCATCCTACAGTGGGGTGCTCCTGCCACAGCGTTACACGGGGGTCCTCACCCTCCTCTTCATCACCACGA